ATATATACATATATATATATATATATATATATATATATTTACTTATTTATAAATGTATAAATATAAATATGTAGGGTTTATTAGAGGAGACAATGTGAGCCTGTCTCCTCATCTGTCTCCTTTTCTCCTGTCTCCTGTCTCTTTTTTATAAACACAAGTAAATAAATAAATAAATAAATAAATAAATATATTTATTTATTTATTTAATTTATTTATTTATTTATTTATTTATATTTATAGTTTATTAAAGGAGACAATCTGTGCCGACTGTACGAGTCCTTCTGTCTCCTCCTTCTGTCTCCTTCTGTCTCCTGTCTCCTTTTTAATATTTATAAACGCAAATAAACAAATAAATAAATAAACTATTTATTTATTTATTTATTTATTTATTTATTTATTTATAGTTTATTAAAGGAGACAATCTGTGCGGACTGTACAAGTCCCCCTGTCTCTTCTGTCTCCTGTCTCCTTTTTAATTTTTATAAACGCAAATAAATAAATAAACAAATAAATAAATTAAATATTTATTTATTTATTTATTTATTTATTTATTTATTTATAGTTTATTAAAGGAGACAATCTGTGCGGACTGTACAAGTCCCCCTGTCTCCTCCTCATCATCATCATCATCATCTTCACCTGTCTCCTGTCTCCTTTTTAATTTTTCTTTTTGTTCTTTATTCATTCCTATTGCTTCTATATTATATATAAGTTCTGTGGTGTCTATACACTCATCTATAATAACACAACTCATCTGTAGTTTATATAAACCAAAAGCTAAGGGGACCTTCTTTATTGTCTCCCCCCAACATAAACCCTCCATATTTATTTTCTTTACTAAACCACCTATTTCATCTATGTTTACCTCAGCACCTGTATATACACACAAATATTTTATTTATTTTATTTTTTTTTTTGTTTGTTTGGTTGGTTTTTATTTATTTTTTTATTTATTTTGTTTTTTATTTTTTTTTTGTGTTTGTCTTTACTTTTTTTTATTTTTAGGTTTTTTCAGTTGTTTTATATTTAGTGCGCATAAATATAAATGTTATTATACAAGTACAATACACAAATGTATATATATATATATATATATATATATATATATATATATATA